CGAACTCCATACGAGCGCGTATACAATAAATTGTATATATATATATATATATTGTATACACACACACTAGTACACTACGCGTGTGTGAATAACTTGTATAATAGCACAAGCTAATGTGGTTTTACACCGGATATTTATCGAGTCGCCAGTCGGAGGATCATTTTTAACGGGCCCACTTAAAAACGCAACAACGATTTTCCGCACATTGGTAGGTATAATATAATAATATATACGCAGGCGAATGCCATCGATCATATTTTAGTGTTTTAATATCGCGATATCCACACGAATGGAGTGTGTGTAATGGCCTACCTATCGTGGCGAATTCATGAGTGTAAACTCGATTTAGATCGATCTGATATTTTTTGATTTTCAAATCGCACGGTGGAACGCAGACCGAGCGCCGTAAGGCATAATGATAATAACTATAAGCATATAGTTGTCAAAGTAGACAAGATTAGGGAAACAAATTAATAACTAGTAAGAGTTGGTAACTATCAACAAAATAAAACACGAAGAAACGATGTTACGATGGATGTTGTATTTTATTTATATGTTATAACACAATCACGTGGTGCACTGTCTGTTTAAAATAACACAGGTATATTCGAGTAACAATTTTTTATTTATCATTTTTTAAAAAGTTAAAAATACTAAAAAAAGTACACGAATAACATTTAAAACTCTATAAACTATACTGCTTGAACACTTTAGTAGCTCATGTCTTAGGACAACTATCAGTGGTGTACCAAGGGTGGGGGAGTGTAAAGGTGCTGAAACTTTATATGGAAAAATAAAATATGGCACATAACCGGTTGGCACTTTGGAATTAAAAAAAATTTATAATTTTTTTTTTCATTTATTGCGTAGTTAAATACAAAATAAATATATATGTTATTTAAYACCTGTAAGTTTTTGGACTAAACCACTAATATTTTCAGTTTAAAATTCAATATTATTTACAAATTAAAATGCATAGGTTAAGGGCCAGTTGTACCGTCTACGGTTAAACTTCGATTACGCTTAATCAGCTGATAACAGATATCTAACCGTGCAAATTCGGCCGATTAAACTCCGGTTAACTTTAATCAGAGACTGTACAACTGGCCCTAAGAAAGAAAAATTTTTTTTGAAAATATTAAGAGGATGTCAGCGCACTATTTGTTTTCTCTCTGACCCACGCGTAACATAGACAAAACGCATTTACAAAGAATCATTTTTTCTATGTCTTTAAGTAATTTTAGAGTAAAACCTTCCATTACAAAAAAAGATAAAGAATAATATTTTTGAGGGAATGACATATCGATTTTATATTTTATTGATATTTGACTTTCAAAATAAACAAAAAAACTACATTTAAATAATGTTTAAATTATTAAGACAAATCGATATGTCATTCCCTCAAAAATATTATTTTCTATCTTTTTTGTAATGGGAGGTTTTACTCTAAAATTACTTCAAGATATAGAAAAAATGATTCTGCGTATATGTGTTTTGTCCATGTTACGAGTGAGCCAGAAAGAGAAAACAAACAGTGCGCTGACATCCTCTTAAATATGAATATGATATGCGTATGAAAATCCAAAAATATGCATGTATTCCTGAAAATTGACAAAATACGCAAAACATGAATTTTCAATTTTCAATTCATTTATTTAACATTGGGGTAAAACCACTTGTCTACTAAAATCGAGAGCATACAAAATAATATGCAAATCCTATAACTACCAAGCCCTAATAATTACCTTAAGGTTATGGGGTATAGTGATTATGACCTATAAAAATATAATATAAAGTAAGGGGTATCAAATTCTGATTAACTTTGCAAAACCCCTCTCCCTCAATTAAAAAATCCGGGTACGTCAACGACAACAATTATATAAATGTTCATAGTTCATTTCTTTGAAAATTGTGACTTATATGGAGTTACTAAAGCTACAGTCTCACAGAATTATGATAGAAGATAGAACCATAATTATATTGATTATTAATGAAAATGTCATATGAACAATTTCATCTGAAATTATGTTCTGTTTGATTTATGTAATTTAAATTTAAATTCAAAACATATATTGAGATATTAACAGCTATTAATATATTGAAAAATAATACTTTTTTTAAGCATTATTCCTTAAAATATATACTGATCTTAGTTATACATTTTTGATATACGATTCCGAATTTTAGACAATAATAATTATAATTTTTTTAGTTTATAATTTTCTGTGTTAGAACAAAAAGATTCTGATATATTATACATATATATATATATATTATTATGAACACGATATATCATTAATTGAAACAATGTTAAGCTCTTTAGACTATCATACAAAACTGAAATGAAACAAATATTTAAATTTTATATAATAGTATGTATTAATTATCTAACCATAATAAATAATAATCAGAACAATAAATTGATATGGAAATTTACAGTCAATTTATATATATATAGTCCTTTATCTTCGTTCATTAAATCATATTTACTCTCTAAGTAAACTTTGTATTTTTACAATACTACGTACAGAGCGACAGAAATAGTTATGCGAACCTAATTTATAAATAATTTATCATTTTTAAACCCAGAATATTTTTAGATTTTGAACCCGTATGTTAAGAGGTGTATTTTCAAGAATACATCTAATAAAATCTAATATCATATAATATGTGTCATTTAATTACTTCTAATAAAATGTAAGCTATTTAAAATAGAATAAATTTATAAGAATAACTCAAAACAACATGACGACAATTTAACGGATATTAACAACTTTTTGTTATTTATATACTTATCATATCAGTATATATCAGAGTGCAAAAATTAACGAATTATTCATCGTTATAACAAGCACATTAGTTCGAAATATTTATAATATAGCACCTACCTAAGAGACAAAATTTGAAAGGTATTCTAAACGCTAATAACCTGCAGTCGGACCGTCAGATTAGAATATATTAATTTGTTGACACATCTAAAATTGAGATAAAAAATATTGTTAACTGATTAAATTGTACAAAAAATACATTCTTGGATTGACCACTGACTTATGTCTTGTATTATCACCTAATGCTTGGTTCTAAATTTAAACCATTCATATACAGATGTAAAATAATATGCTTGGCGACTAATCCTATTGTTTTTTATATTAAAACATTTTTAACACACTGATAATAATTTTATTATAAACTATACTTTTATAATTTTTTTTTCCTTTTTTTTACGTAAAATAGAATAATTTCAGATAATTCATATTAGTTGATTCTAATAGTACTGTAAAGACGTTATAATATATTCAATATTAGCTATTAATATTTAAGAATATTTACATGTAATAAACTATAAAGCAATAAAAAAGTTGATGCAACTTAAGTTTGAGTAGTCAGTCGTCAGACGCTTACCGAGCACCATTATTAATATTTATGCTGATTTTTATACAAAACACAACAAAAAATTATTCATTCTATTTTCCAAGCTGACAACGTATGTATTATGCTAATATATATACCTATTATACTATTTAACTATTATAGTATTTATTGTTATCAAGTCAACACAAAATTTCAACTGAATTGCAATAAAAATTACTGTAAGTCGAGTATAAAATAATAGTAGTATGAAGTCTAGACTAATAATTTACGATTAATATTAGAATATTATAAGAGAGACAATTGACCTTCAAAAAGAAAAAAAATAYGAAATAGTCCCTGAATAGTGAATTCAATTCCAACGCCCAAACAAATGGCAAAAAATGTTACTCATGAACACGTTTTAAATTTCCTGCAATTTGTGTTTCATAGACACTTGGATGAAATAACCTGTCTAAAAAAAGGTGTAACAAAACAAATTTTTATAAAAAGTTCAATCACGAAATAAAAAAAAAAGTAATTTGTGCATTTCCTGTAATTAACTAGTCAAGTCATCGTTCATTCAGCATTCATCCTATCGAACATAATTGAAAATAGATAAATATACACCATCCAATTAGCATGTTTGGTGTGACATTTTAGGTTGATAGTATTGCGTTTTACAATTTTACCAAAAGGCTATAATTCATGGTATATATTGTCTCGATACATTGTAATTTATTACGAACCCAATTTGTCTGCACAATAACCTACACTGGATTACGAAATAATAAAAATGAAAAGTTGCAATGTTTTAATTATGAGTGAATAGTCAAGTTAAATTTTTATCAAAC